TAATTAAAATATTTTGTCCAAGACAAAGTAGCTCAATGGCCAATCCAGAGCTGTTAGTACTTGAAATTTTAGGTTTTACACTTAAATACTACAAATTTTTTTCATCTCAAAAATTCCTTAAGATTAAAAAAGAAAAAAAAAACGTTTTTTTATTAATTATAACCATACCTACGATTGGTATAACCAAAACTAGTCATTTAGTAAGGGCGAATTTCAATTGTTGGCTTGAGGGTCGATCTAAATTTACAGAAGTTGGTTGATGGGCGGTAATACTTGTCCTTTTGTTAAATTTTAAATTATAAAAAAGGGATAAAATTAAAAATTCATAAAAAATTAAGAGTTATTAAATTTTTTTATCATAAGAATAACTAAGTTTTAATATTTAACTTTCATAAAAATAAATATTGTATAATTAAGGATTATCAAAATATATGATCCTTTGATAGTGATTATTAATAAGGTAACTTTTTAAACTTATGAAAAGATGAGATATTAATCAGCAATATTTTAAAATTAAAATCAAATCAATTAATTTTGGCCTTTGATTTTAATTAAATTAATTTAACCATTTAAAACATCGATTTATCAATAAATTTTGTTAAATAATTTATAATAAATAAAATTTTCGCATACAAAGTACGTAACAATTACCACAGGTGATAAAAACACGCAGCTGTAATTGACAGGTTTAAAGAATGAGATATTCTGTTTAGTGTCATTTTTACGTGTTTCTATAGTTTAAATTATACGTACACCTTTCGGTGTCAGTCCACCAAGTGGCAAAACATTCAAGTTGGACTTGGACGTTGAGGGTTCGATTCCCATGTGTCCCTCTTTTCTTTTTCTTTTTAGAAGGTTGAAAAATCTCATTTTTAACCTTTATATTTAAAAAAAAAAATTGTCCTTATGCTTAAGAAAATTTTCTTAATCCTAAAATTTACCTTTTAATCATTTTTTAGTCTTTTCATTATCTTTTTGCTGAGATGGCTTGTTAATTAAGAGAACAAGTTGAATTTTTTTTTCATAAAAAAGATATGAAAATGCCATGTAAAAAAAAATTGATAATGTTAACCACAAAATTGTATTATTCTCCACAAAATGAGTTGGAAATGCACTGAAAAAAATGATATTGTGGGCAAAAAAAATATTAAACTACCATAATAATTTTCTGGACCCATTTAGTATATAATATTTAATTATTTATTCCCTTTAATTAAATTTAATAGTTTTAAGGTAATTTTTTTAACTTTTTAAACATAAATTTTATATAAAAATTTAACCATTTTCAACAGAAATTTTTGTTCTTTCAATTCCTCTGCGAAATTAAATTTTCACAAAAATTTTCACAGCAAATTTGTTCTCCTAGTTCCTTTACACATTTCAATTCCAAATCAAATTTATTCCCAAAATCTTGAGCAATGTCACCTCCTCTACTAATTTCATTGGCTGCTTAACCATGAAATCCAAGATCAATGACACGAAAAAAATCCGACATCCAGTACCCAAGCCAAGAATGCTGAAGCAAAAAAGAGCAAAAGAAAAAGACACAACCAAAAAAACCCATATTAGGGTAAGAAAACAAATGTAGAAATTTAGAAAAAAACAAAAGGAGAGGCACAGAAAAAGCTCAAGAAACAAAATAATAATAATAATAATAATAAACCAATAGATCTGTAACAAATTTAAAGGACTCGAATTTCTTCTTATCAACCATTTCTTGATTTATACAGGAAAAAAAAAGGCAGTAAAAAGGTGATCCTCAGGATTTGGGTGTTGATACCGAGTAAGCAATGGTGAAGTACCTGAAGCCAAACACAATCCATTGTCTTTCAGGTTCGCCATCATCTTTCAAGGCCACCATCATCCTTCAAGGTTGTTGATGAGTAGCATTTTATATGTTTTAATATATTATTTTAACCTTAATTTTATTATTATTTACATAGACAATATGTATTTTCAATAATTTTTATATAGTTTTCATTTTTTATGTACAAAAAGACTTGAATGCATAATAATATGAGTTTTTGAGATTAATTGAATATTTTTGAAAGTTGAGGGATTAAATTGCAACAAGAGAGGTTCCTCTTTGGGATCTAAATTAATGAATTTTAAATTATGAAATTAAAGTGCTCATCATATAAAAGATGGAGGATCAGATCTGCTAGTTTACCATAAGAAAATTACAAAAAAGGCTAAAAACCCGACACGGGTATAGTGTGGACACACACTTGGTGGTATCAGCACTTGTATTAAGCCTTGCTAAAACAGATTCGCAAAGGCACGTCCAGCATCATGCTTAGTTTTGACAACGCTCCTCCAGCATTTTTTGTAATTTATATGTTTAGTCAATTATTTATTTTTATTTTTTTTAGAAAGATATATAGAAATTATTTTATCTAAAAATAATAAGATTTTTAATTTTTTTTCCATATATCATATATTAAATTATTAATTAATTTAATTTTAAATAAAAATATGCTTAATGAAGTAATTTTACATTAAATAGTTGTTTCCAAATATAATTATCAAATAATAAAATATTTTTCATAATGATAATATAACATTTTAACAATTACAACTAAGGGTATTCGTGGTGTGGTTTGATTCGGATTTTAATATTTTTTAAATCAATCCAATTTAATTGGTTAATAAAATTTTTAAATCAATTTAATATACTATTATATGATAATCAAACCAATCCAACTTAAATCGGATTGGTGTGGTGCAGTTAGATTGATCAGTTTTTATCATTATTAAATATATGAGATAATGTAAAAATATTTTAACATCAAATAGAAAACAAAACTATAAAATACATTAACATCCAAATTAGTAAAAATATAATAAAATGTATAAATTATAAATAAGTTTTTATACTCCTTTACATTTGTAAAAATTGAAAAACTCTGAA